CTTAAAAATTATTAAGGATCCCAAATTGCTTTTGCTTATGTCAATGTATCTATCAATACCCACCCTATTAGGAATTAAAAGATACTTTAAAATATTTATTAACAATAATAGACCTTTTATGTGTTTAAAAATCAACTTTTTAAAATAAAAATATTTTCCAAAACAAAAATAATTTATTGAGAAGTTTTATAAAATAACAGCTTTATTGGGATATAATTCAAATACCATACAATTCACTTATTTAAAGCATACAATTCAATAGCTTTAAGCATATTCAGAGTTGTGTGACCATTACTACAGTTAGTGTCAGGACACTCTCATCACTCCACAAGGAAACCCCACATTCTTTAGCTGTCACCCTTCCTAACCTGCCCATCCTCCACCCTTTGCCCCTGACAGCCAATATACTTTCTGGCTCTAGGGATTTGCCTATTCTGGACATTTCATATAGATGGAATCATACACCATGTGGTCTGTTGTGTCTTGCTTCTTTCACTTAGCATCATGGTTTCAAGGGTCATCCATGTTGTAGCACCACTAGACTTTGTGCTTTTTCATTGCCAAATAATAGTTGACTATATGAATATACCACATTTTATTTATCTATGTATCAATTGATGGACTTGGGTTGTTTCTACTTTTTAGCTACAGTGAATAATGCTGTTATGAACATCTGCATGCTAGATCTCAAGTGCTTTCATTTCTCTTGGGTACTTACCTAGGTGCAGAATCGCTAGGTCATATGGTAACTCTGTGTTTAATCTTCTGAGAAACTGCCAGAATGTTTTCCAAAGTTGCTGCACTATTCTACATTCCCAACAACAGTGTATGGGGGAGATGGCATAGTTTTACATTTCTGCAGATCTTTTTAATGAATGGCTTAATAAAAGACAGCTGGATTATCATACCTGTTTCTGTATCCAATTGTTGCAAAATATTTTGGTTGAGTATATGAAAAAAAATCCAGATTCAAAGAGATACATAGCTGGGAAACAGAGGAGCATTTTAACAGCCTTTTCAGATAATTGTGGAATAGTTTTATTTGATACTACATCAAGACTCTTTAAGTGGTAGTTTCTTAAAGTTTAGTTGCAAAATAGAATTCTAAACCACATCAGTAAGGTTTTTGTACTATGTATTAAAAGTCAATTAATTAACAGAAAAGGGACATTAATGGAAAAACTAGAAAATCTGAGGTCTATAATTTAGTTACTAGTATTGTACCAATGATAATTTCTTAGTTTTGATAAATGTACTATGGTTAGGGAAAATGTTATCCACTGGGAGAAGCCAAATGAGGGGTACATACAGAAGAAACTCTCTGGACTATCTCTGTAGCTCTATACATTTAAAATTATTTCAAAATAAAAAGTTAAAAATAAAATCCAACCCATTGGTCTATTTTGTTCTTTGATTAGATCTTTCCAGCATGATTTTGTAAGTTCATGCTTTGGTTATTTGGAAAACATTGGTTCACTTAATTATGAAAATCCTCCAAATGTTATACATTTCATTATATGACATAAAAAATTCAAAATCATTAAACAGTATCTCTGATCTCTTCAGAAAAGTCTTTAAGAAACAGAAAGCTGGCCAGGTGCTTTCTGTTTCAAGCCTGTAATCCCAGCACTTTGGGAGGTCAAGATTTTTGGCACTTTTGGATTGCCTGAGCCCAGGGTTCGAGACCAGCCTGGGCAACTTGGCAAGACCTCATCTCTACAATAAATCAAAAAATTAGCCAGGCATGGTGGTGTGTGCCGGTAGTTCTAGCTACTTGGAAGGCTGACGTGGTAGGATCTCCCTGAGCCCAGAAGGTCGAGGCTGTACTGCAGCCTGGGCAACAGTGAGACTCTGACTCAAAAAAAAAAAAAAAAAAAGAATTAGGAAGCTGTTAAGCTTACAGTGACAGAGATAAGCTTTTCAAAATTCTAATTTTCACTTAAAAGTTCACTGGCAACAAGTTGATTTCCTTGAAGCAAAAGACTAGCTTTCATTTTCAAGAAAACACTTTCCAAATACCTGAGTCTGAATAACAGTTTGTCTACAAGTTCTTCTTTCAATTGAAAAATGGTGTTCCGTGTAGTCTTGGTTATCAAAATACTCATATAGCTTTGGGATTTTGAATTGGTAAATATTCATGATGTGTGAAAAAGCATGATACATACTGTACGATCTCAATCCCATGAAATTGGCTGTTGTGTCTATGCACAGAGGACCGAGAAGGGAATGTCAAACTATAAACTGCTTGTGATTGTGGATGACTTTGTTCTTTGCTTCTTGTGTTTTTCAGTTTCCTATAATGCAAATATTAACTTTTAAGAAATAAAGGTTATTTTAAAAATCTGACAAAAAAAAAAAAGAAAAATGGTGTTCCATTGGGCTGGGCATGGTGCCTCACACCTGTAATCCCAGCACTTTGGGAGCCTGAGGGGAAGGATTGCTTGAGTCCAAAGTTTGAGACCAGCCTGGGCAACAAAGAAAGACCTCATCTCTACAAAAAATTAGCTGGGCGTGGTGGGGTGTGCCTGTTACTTGGTAGGATGAGGTGTAAGGATTGCCTGAGCCCAGGAGTTTGAGGCCGCAGTGAGATGTGATCATGCCACTGCCTGGGCAACAGAATGAGACCCTGGCTCAAAAAACAAAACAAAACAAAAAACAGTGTGCCATGAAAAAAGCAGCTCCTGTGGTTCCCATCTCCATCACACAAGCCCTTGTCCACAAGACAGACGTCATGCTTTGCTGTGACACAGAAGCGTTTTAAGCATCTTCCCATCTCATCACACGTGATATGAGAAAGATGTGTACTCAAGAGCTGAGTCAGAATAAATTGACTCCTCAAAGACATTCTGCTTCCTCAAAGACATTCTGAAGTGAAACTTACTTCTCACATGTGGTGGTTAATAATACAATGGCCACTGGTGCATCCTGGTGTGTTTGTGCTTGAGGGGCCAGCAGCTTTATACACTGTTGCTCTGGCACCTTCAGTGCAAACGGCCACACAGGAGAAAGGCAAATAATGCCACAGTATTATCATGAACGTGGCTTTGACCTCCTGCACCCCCTGAAAGTGTCTTAGGGACCTGAGGGTTTGTGGACCTCATTTTGGGAACTGCGGCTCTCCTAGAACATGAAGCTCCTCAAAGGCAGGGGTTTTTGTCTGCTTTGTTCACTGCTATATCCCCTGTGTCTAGAACAATGTTTGGCACATAACAGATGCTCAGTAAGTATTCATTACATGAGTGCATAAATTAAGTGACTGAATAAATGAATGCAATAACATCTGTAATCACTTTCTGCTCGGAAGTAGAGTGATAAAAAATTCAGGATATTTCTAGTTTGTGGTATAAATTAAAATTTCACAGAATGTTAAATATTTAATCAGGAAATAAAAGAAACGATTTCTTTGGGTAAAAGCTTTTAACTGCAAGGAAGACAAAAGCAGCAGGGAACTTTCAGAACCATCCCAACAGTGTTTACACAGGAAAGCAACAGCCTTTAGCAAAGGAGACAATTCCTGAAAACAGGAGCATCTCCTGTGACCCAGAAATGGGGCAAAATCAGGAAAGGAGAACGAGACACTAACAGCTGCCACTTCACATCATCGTCTCACACTTGTTTTTCCAACCCATAGTGTCTGGGAGTGTTTCACAGATTTGGAAGGAATTATGTATTAAAATAAACAGGGAATTAGAATATAAGGTGGGACACACAGGAATTCACAGGGAATGGTTAAAACATTTTAAGTTTTGAGGACTAAATTAAGATCATGTATTTATCCCACTAAGAGACCTGAAGACCTCAAAGTATGATTCACAAACTGTGAGTGCTAAAGATGTGGATTAACAAAGGCAATATGAGTACAATAAACAGCTGCATAAAATAGGTGAGCTAGTTAACAAAATATTCTGGTTAGTGGGGAGTTACTATATAGTTTGCTCTTTCTCAATGAACACAAATTCAATAAATACACTGTCCCCAAGCTGAAGAATTCAGTCATTATTTTAATTAATTAATTTATAGAGATGAGGTCTTTCTAAGTTACCCAGGGTGGTCTTGAACTCCTACCCTCAAGTGATCCTTCCACTTTTGTCTCTCAAAGTGTTGAGATTACAGGCATGAGCCACTAGGCCCTGCCTCAGTCATTATTTAATGACTGCAGAGGCACTTCAGAATCTCATTCCGCTCCAGGGTATCATCAGTAGGAAGGATTTACCAGTTAAGGAAGGTCTAGTAATGGAGTGTAATGAATATGTAAATTACACACTCTTTAATTTCTAGTCCCACTCTGCCACTTGGTAATTGGCTGGTACCAGGTAAATTCCTGAACCCTTCTATAGTTCAGTTTCTCTCTTCTCCTTTTCTGAAATTCAGAAATATTTAGAGTACACATGCTTGGGAACTATTTTAGGCCCCTTGAAAATACTGAGTTAAGTGTAGGAGTTACATGTGGGATTTACCCACAAGACAAAATACCCCAGTAAACCTTAAATTGCGGAGTCTTTAAGTGCACAATAGAATATTGGGGGGAAGAAAGTAAACTGCTGAGTCTGAAATAACAATCTATGTAAGTTTCTCCCATCCTCTAGAAAACCTCCAAAGTGCTTCCCCAACCCATGCATCTGCTCGGCCCTAGCATTCCTGGGAATAAGACTGAAACCAACACTAGCCACCCTAGTAATTTCCGAGTAGTTTACAAAGCACTTTAGCATCTGTATCCCTTGATCTTCGTTCTAAACCTGTTAGCTAGGCCATGCAGGAAGAGCCATTTCTGTTCTTCAGACAAAAAAAGGGAAGGTTTAAAGAAATTGAGAGCCTTAACTAAGAGGCAGAACTGGGGCTCAGTGGGTCACATGAGCGTCACTGTCATTCCACTACTGCACCCAGTTGTGCTAAGTGAAGGAAGAAAGAGGTGGTCCCCAGAGGAACTTCTGAAGCCCCCACAGCAGGCAATGGTGATCTGGCTTCCCTGGGCCCTGGACAGGCAATCCTGCTCCACTCACCTGCAGCTTCACAGCAATGACCACTGAGTTAAGATCTTTGTCCATTTCTTTCAGCATGACGAGTTTCTTCAGGGTCAAGCTGAATAGTCTAGAAAAACAGAGAAAGAAGACATGTCAAACATAAGGATCTTCCAAGAAATGTGATAGACAATTGTCAGGAGCCAGCCTCAGAGGCCTTCACGTTGACAGGGTCCGGAAGGCCGAAGACCCCAGGTTGCAGGGCACTTTGCAGTCATGATTAAGTTAAGAATCCTGAGATGGGGAGATTATCCTGCATTATCTGGGTGGGCCCAATATAATTACAAGAGCCACTATAAGAGGGAAACAGGGAGGCAGGGAGGCCAGAGTCACAGAAGGAGATGTGACTAGAGAAGCAGAGGCTATAGTGATGTAACTGCTGGCTGTGAAGAGAGGAAGGAGTCAGACGCCAAGGAACACAGCAGCTTCTAGAAGCTGGAAGAGGCAAGAAAACCAATCCTTCCCTGCAGCCCCCAGAAGAAACGCAGACCTGCCAACACCTTGAGCTTGGCTCAGTGGTCTATTTTGGACTTCTGAACTGCAGAGCAGCAAGATAATAAAAGTGTGTGGTTTGAAGTCACTAGGTTTGTGGCCACTTGTCACAGCAGCTGTAGGATGCGGACACATTCCTCGGCCCAGGGCTTGGGCTCCTTCTACCACACTGCTGCATCCTCAGCCTGTGACTTGGGCTCCCTCAGCTGTGGGCTCCTAAACCACTCTCCTGACATCCGTTAGCCAGGAGCCATCTGCGTTCTGGCTCTCTCCTCCACAACTCCCCCCATCAGCACCTGCCTGCAGCATCACCTGTCTCTCCTTTCCCTTCAGAGCAAAGGTGTGCTGTCCCACAAGGAACTGTGCTTCTGCTGACGCCAAAGGGATGATTACAGCTCATAGATGGCTATTAAGAAATGTAGTCCCAGCTTCACGGAAGGCTGAGGCAGGAGCATTGCTTGAGCCCAGGAGTTTGAGGCTAGCCTGAGCAACACAGGAAGTTCCTGTCTGTTAAAAATAATAATAACATAATAAAACATAGCTAAATATATACATATTTTAACTGATTTTCAAGCCTTGATGGCTCAAAGAATGGGAACATGACTAGCAGTCATAAATGCAAAAGACTGGATATGCCCAATTTTCTTCTTCATCTGAGGCTTTTGGAAATCAAATAAAATATAGAGACAAATCTCTGAAATTAAAACATTTTATCTGGGGAAAAAGAATTGTGATTTGGGATACACACGCAGATGAGGTAGCCTTAGATATGTCTCATAAACAACGACAAGGTTAGAGGTTTAATAAAAAGGATAAATATTATGCATTCCTCTTCAAAAAAGGTCTTTAGCACTAGTAAGGATTTGGGGAGCCAGTGAACTCTGGCTGGTGAGTGATGGAGGTGAGCAAAGCTAGTCTTAAAGTCACAGCAAACAGTCAGCAGTCATCAGATAAAACTGGCTTCAGGTGACTGCAGACAGTTTCAGCAGCCAGGCTGCAGAGAATTACATTTTTGGAGCAATATTATGTGCCCTGCGTGCTTTGCCCCTGGCTTCTCGGTTCTGGTTTAGTTGGCTATGACAAGAATGACCCAGTGTGTATGATCCACTCTCACAAACGGCCAATCATGAATGCTTCTCATGAGCTAGGTGTTTCATTGTTTTCAAAGCAAACATTTTCCACCTTCAGATTGATCTGCTGCTGCTCAATAAACTCACTGCAAGATAAAAGCCTCATAGGAGGCAACCAGGGACGCGTCTTCTCCTCTGCTTAAGGGTCTTCGTTCTTACACATAAAGCCCACACTGAGAGAAATCTGCTCCAGGCCTGGAACTGTAACAAGTTGCAGGAGTTGGAGAGGGACGTGTTCTTAGCTTCATGGAGCTACACAGCCCAATGAGAAATGTAAAAAACTCACATTCCACTCCTTGTCTCTGCTCTTTTATGCCTCAGAAGGCTCTGGACCATCTTTCCTCATACATGTCATGTAAAATATTGTGGGATAACATGGCTGAATTATGAAGGAAAAACACATCACAGACCAAAAAATAGTCGTTGAATAAATGGACAGGTCTTTAGGACACAGAACCTTAGGTTAACAAGAAAGTTAAGGAAGATTTAGTGAAGCATTAGTGAGACTGGATATGTTCAGTGTTTGCTGAGAAACACAATGCAACACAGTCCTTTCAAAACTTCTGGCAGTCATTTCAACCAGTTTTTTGATTTTTTAAGATAATACAGCTCAAGAAGATTTGGGGACTCAAATGTACTCTGATCCTTCAAGGTATAAGAAAATGTCAACTGGGCAAGGTGGCTCATGCTTGTAATTCTAGTACTTTGGGAAGCAGAGGTAAGAGGACTGCCTGAGCCCAGGTGTTCGAGAGCCAGCCTGGGCAACTTGGTGAGAACTTGTCTCTATAATAAGTCAAAAAATTAGCTGGGCGTAGTGATGTGTGGCTGTAGTTCTAGCTACTTGGAAGGCTGAGGAGGAAGGATCACTGAGTCCAGCAGGTCAAGGCTGTGGTGGTTTTGAGCATGCCACTGCACTCCAGCCTGGGCAACAGAGTGAAACTCCAACACACACACACACACACACACACACACACACACACACACACACAAGTCTACTAATCCTTAAGCATACACCATATGCTAGTTGCTTGATATACATTTCATTGTCTTATTTAAGCTTCATGATAATTCTAGGAGGTGGGTATTATGCCCACACGAATGCTGGGAAGAATTAAACTTCCCAAGGCCACACAGAAAGTAGTCAAGACAAGATGCAAACTTAGGCCTATCCTAGTCTAGAGCCAATTTTAGTTAGTATAAGGCACTTCATTAGAAGAAATTATTCTAAGTGAATATTTTCAACATATATCTTAATATAACAGGGAAACCCTAAGGAAATGAGATAAATTTCTCCTTAAACCCACATTCACATATAATGAAGGAAAGATTCCCAGATATAGTTCTGAGGACTTGCTGTCCGGCAAGATATTGTGGTTGAAGGTATCTCAGTGATTAGGAGGCTCAGTTAGATACCCATTCCAGGTTTTCTGCTACCCTACATTTCACTGGGGGACATTTTTTTTTTTGAGTTGCAGTCTCACTTTGTCGTCCAGGCTGGAGTGCAGTGGCACGCCCATGGCCAACCCAGCGTCAACCTGTTGGGTTCAGGCGATCCTTCCACCTCAGGCTTCCAAGTAGCTGAAACTACAGGTGTGTGCTACCACATCCGGCTAATTTTTTGATTTTTATGTAGAGATGAGGTCTTGCCAAGTTGCCCAGGCTGTTCTTGAACCGTGGACTCAGACAATCCGCTCACCTCAGCCTCCCAAACTGCTGGGATTACAGGCTTGAGCTACCACGCCTGGCCTGGTGGACACTTCTTATGCAGTGAAAATAGAGGACCCAAGGCCTGAAGAGATGAGTCCTTCCTGATGATACTCCTGCTTTCATTAGTTTTCCTACAGCAGAAAATTTTACACTAAAATTATAAAGGCTGACAATTACAAATGCGGGTGAAGATGTTGAGTAGGCAGAATTCCCTGGTGAGAGGGAAAAGCTTGAGAAAACGACTTGGCGGCTTATTAATAAATGTTATATATATGCCGACTCCTATACCCAGCCCCCAAGAGAACTGAAGAAAAATGAAGGCATAGATCACAAAAAAGACAGGTACAAGAATGTTCAAAGCTTCTGCACAACAAAGGAAGCAAGCAATCAACAGAGTGAAAAGACAACCTACAGAATGGGAGAAAATATTTGCAAATTACTCAACTGACAGGGGATTAATATCCAGAATATACAAGGAATCGAAACATCTAAACAGCCTCCCCCCCAAAAAACGACGAAAACTCTACATGATCTGAATAGATATTTCTTAAAAGAAGACATACTGATGGTCAACACATATATGAAAAAAATACTCAAAATCACTAGTCATCAAAGAAATACAAATTCAAACCATAGTGAGGTATCATCTTAGGATAGATATTATCAGTTAGGACAGATATTATCAAAAAAGAAAAAAAACAACAAATGCTGGTGAGGATGCCATGAAAGAGAATTCTTTCTTTTTTTTGAACTGGAGTCTCACTCTATTGCCCAGGCTGGAGAGCAGTGGCAAGCTCATGGCCACTCAAGCCTCAACCTGCTGGGCTCAGGCAATCCTTCCGCCTCAGCTTTCCAAGTAGCCCAAACCACAGGCACACGCCATCATGCCCGATTAATTTTTTGATTTATTGCAGAGAAGAGGTCTTGCCAAGTTGCCCAGGCTGGTCTTGAACCCTCAGGCTCAGGCAGTCCACTCGCCTCGGCCTCCCAAAGTGCTGAGATTACAGGCTGAGCCACCGAGCCCGGCCGAAAGAGAATTCTTATACACTTCTGGTAGGAATGCAAACTAGTACAGCCACTAGGAAGAACAGTTGGAGGTTCCCCCAGGTCAGATTGTGTGAACATAGGGATAGGTATTGTGAGTGTCAGGCAGAGGAGGGCAGGGAGGACTGTAATTCTAAGTAATTCTAAGGCCTCCTTGAGAAGTCCTAGATTGAGGGAAAGAAGAACAAAGACCTTAGGGTGGCAGCACACTGGTCTGTCTGGGAAACAGCACTGTCAATGCTTTGTAAACCATACTAAGGACTTGGCTTTTACTCTGCAAAAATGGGGAGCCAATGGCTTTAAGTGGGAGACACATGATGTGTTTTACTTATTTATTTTTTATTTTTTTTGAGTTGGAGTCTCACTCTGTCGTCCAGACTGGAGTGCAGTGGCTGCTCCTGGCCACCACAGCCTCAACCTGCTGGGCTCCGGCGATCCTTCTGCCTCAGCCTTCCAAGCAGCTGGAACTACAGGTGCGCGCTACCATGCCTGGCTAATTTTTGATTTGTTGTAGAGATGAGGTCTCACCAAGTTGCCCAGGCGGGTCTTGAACCCGCGGGCTCAGGCAATCCACTCACCTCGGCCTCCCAAAGCGCTGAGATTACAGGTTGAGCCACTGAACCCGGCATGATGTGTCTTATATACAAGTTTTTTTTTGAGTCGAAGTCTCTGTCGCCCAGACTGGAGGGTAGTGG